AGCGCCGGGGCGACTGAGACTCGCGGGGCTGGAGCGGCAGAGTCTGTAGTGTTGAGTGGTGGTGGTTCCCGCCTGTAATTTCAGCCCTGGGAGGCAGAGGCCGGAGGATGGCAGCTAGACCCCATCTTGGGCGATCTGGCAAAACTGTCTTTCACTTTTTCTTTTTGGTACCGGGAATCGAACTCAGGGCCTCGCGCTCCCGGGCCCTCAGCGTTTAACAAAAAGGGCTGAAGCCCTGTTTCACTTTGAAAGCCGTGGTTCAATCCTAGTACCTTTTTTTTTTTTTTTTAATGGTAAGGAGATTAAAAATTACAGGGCTTTAAGCGCCTTACGGTTAAATTTTGAAGAGGACTGTCCAAGAGTTTACTCTCTCCCCTAAATCCGTAGTTCTTTTCCGAGGCTCCCCTACCTGGTTTTGGAAATGAAACTCACTTTTAGAACTAGGATTGTCTGTGTTCTCTAGATCTGTGCCTCTCAAATCTAACTATACACGAGGACTACAGAGGTTTTTATTTTTCCCTCCAATTGCTGGTCCCTAGAACTCCCCTCCAAAAATTACAGTTTGATTGGTCTGTGCCCAGGCATCTGTTAACCTTCCCTTGCTAAGTCATATTCAGCCAAAGTTGAAAAGGACAGCTCTAGATTAAAAGCCAGACTCATATTTTACCTACACCCATTTCTGCCCATTTGGAGAATGACAGATTTTTTTTTTTGTCCTGTAGCCTTGCAGTTTTAGTGATTAGAAGGAGTTGTCATATAAATTTAAAACACTTGAATTTTGGTACAGTCTTCAGAGGGATACAAGCCTTTTTATTCTTTGTTCATTTGAGCTTTTCCCCTTGTGGAAATGAAGGGGCTGTTACTCTGATTTGCTTATTCTGTTTTTCCCTTGTAGATCCTCGGGATTTGAAGATGGCTGCCCAGTCAGCGCCGAAAGTTGTGCTAAAAAGCACCACCAAGATGTCTCTAAATGAGCGGTGAGGCAGCCAACAGCAACTTCAGCTCCTTCCTAAGAAAACATTACTTAAATTGGCCCTGGGGTCCAATGCACAAAAACCAGTTGTAAGCTAAATAGCAACAGAAGGCTACAGACCTCTGTTATTAGTTGCATCTCGTGTGGTACACAAAACATATTGGGCAGTTGTTTCAAAACCCCTTATCAGTAGATTTTTATGGTAAGCTGTCTGCAGTGTTTGTCTGGTGGGATGTATTTAAAAGGACTCCGCACACCCTCCCTTTTCTTCAGTTTTTTTACATTGATACAGGGGTGGTGCAGCATGGTAGTGTGGTATACCCCAGCTGCAGTAGGCTTGCTGCCCAGTCCAAGGCCAGCAGTGTTGTGTCTGGCCTGTAAGAGGCAGGTAGCAAGCTGTGAATATGTCCAAAGGCCCTTGAATGACATTCTTGGGCCTTGTAAGAGGCACTTGCTTTGCTCCATCTCACTTTCCAGTTCTGCTTTTTCGTTTGTTTTTGTTTTGTATTCTTTTAACAGTTAAGTGTTCTTCTCTTTCACTCCATTAAATTTAACCATGATGGGAATAGTAGAGGGACATCTTCATAAGTCTCTTAATTGCTGAACTGAACTAATCTTTCTCAGAATTAGTCACTTGGAGTCAGAAAAAAATGATTATTTGGGACTTGGAAAAATTAAGATTTAGAAACAGTCTCTAACCTTAAGTTCTTTGTTCATTCAGTGCCTTTGGCCAATCATTTTATCAAATTGTAGTTACAACTTTATACCTTAACATCTGTTTTTGCTTCTTTTGAAGTATATGTACTTCTGTCCTTATCTCAGGAAGTATTACTGTATATTCATGTTACTGATACAGATTCAGTGCACTCCTATCATTTATATAGGTGTGTTATTTTCACAGGCTTTGATGGTGTGTGCTCTTCCTCATATTTGCCCTCAGAATCAACCGTTGACTCCCTTTAGGTTTAGGCTTTTCTTCATTTGTCTTTGAAACTGCATCTTCTGTCTCTTGTCATGGTATCTGCTTACTGCGTGTTTTTCATACTTTCTGCCTGTCTAAGAACTGTTACCTGAGCCCTTGTTACCGCTTTTGATTGAATGTACTGCATTTAGCTGCATCTCTAAGTTTCTGACTCTTGCAAGTTTGTGGAAAAAAGAGGAGTCTGACCCACATCAGCTATGATCTAAATGTACCACTTTACTTAAAGTTCATGGGATCTGAAGCTCCTGGTCTAGCAAGCCATGAAAATGCCCATAAATGTTTTATAATAAAGCTTTTGTTTAAACATCCATTTTGTTCGACCTTGAAGCTTTACTAATATGCTGAAGAACAAACAACCGATGCCAGTGAATATTCGGGCTTCGATGCAGCAACAACAGCAACTAGCCAGTGCCAGAAACAGAAGACTGGCCCAGCAGATGGAGAATAGACCCTCTGTCCAGGCAGCATTAAAACTTAAGCAGGTGAGAGAATTGAGTCTTAATGCTCCTGAAGCAGCTGTGAGCTGTCAGTCCACTGAGGCTGTCAGGATGAAATGGATGGTTTCTAGGTGGCTCAGGGCAAAAGCTGAAACTTCTCTGAAAGAGGAGTTCAGCAAATTCCAATGTTGGCAGATACTTAAAAGTAATTGTTTTATCATCTCTCTTTTAGGGAGGTATACCATCTTTATGGCCTGGTTGTGTTATCATTGAGGATTAATTTCTTGTTTTCTCATCCTTTACTCTCAAAATTAATTTGTAGATTTTTCAGCAAAAGGACTTTGTTTTGGGCAGGGAGTGTTAGCTTGCCTAGCATATATAAGGCCCTGGGTTCCATCCCCAGTAAGGAAAAGAAAGAAACACTGTTTCTGTTTTAGGTAAACTTTCAAAGCATCCTTTACTCCCTGTCAAATGATTTACAACCTAGAGAAATAGTTTTATTCTTCCCTTCCTTGCGGAATTATGAATGGCCTTAGTCGAAGTTTTTCATTGCTAAAACAAAGAATGGCCCACAATTCCACAGCATTTAAAGTATGGTACAGCAAGAGTACTGAGTGATTGTTAGTGCATTCTCTTTCAAATTTCCAGTGAGAAGTCATTCTGTTCAGACTGAAATAAAACTTGCTCTTTGTTATTCATAGACTTTATATGCAAGTCCGGACAGTGGCTGTGGAAGGATATGTCCAAGCTGTGGCTGGGCGTCTGGAGGGCAGTGCCATGCAACTGTAAGGACTTTAACTGGTAGCACTGCATGGCTGTGCATAAACTCCGCAGTTAAATATAACACCCTCCCACCCCCACTCTGAACCGTTAGGCTCATTGGCCAAAAATAAATAAGGCTTTCGGCTTCAGCTACCTTCAGCCTCGAAGTGATTAGATTCATCCCTGACTCAAGCATCAAACAAAAAGTGCCACATTTTCCAAGACTAAATAAAATTTGCTGAAGTCCTGATATATTCCAAAGAATCTTTTAACGAGGAGCTTTAAGTATAGACTGTGTGGAAGGTAGCATCTAGAGTGGTGCTGTACTCAGTTTCTACAGTGATGAAAATGTTCTAGATGTACTGTCCAACGTAGTAGCCACTAGCCACATATGGCTGTTAAGAACTTTTTTCTTAAGCGTGGCCAGTGCAATTGAGCTTCATTTTAAAATTTCTTTAAATTTACTTTTGCTTTAAATAGCCACCTGTGGCCAATGACTGTCTATACAGCACAGCTCTGGAGTGGAAACTGGTTAATAGTTTATATCCTTCACCATCCTCGAAAGTAGGATTGGTACCGTGGGGATGTAGGTGGGAGAACTCAGCACGGTATGGCCCTTCCCCAAAGCATAGGGCTCAGGAAGATGAATATACTCCGAGTAACTGAGTATGAAGGACTTCTAGAATATCCTGCCTCATAATTGTGTGCTAGGGGCTGGTAGCCCCTGGGAGAGCACTTGCCTAGCATGCATGAGGACATGGAGTCTAGTCCCAGCACTGAAGGGAAAAAAGAAATAGTCATTGTGTGCTAATCAGAAGAGTAACAAGACAGGTTTTTATGATTAGTTGCACCTGCCTATGTTAGATAATGCTCAGAATTTGTCCCTCTGATGAGTAAGAGTTTGTGATCTTGAGTTAAAAAGCTAATGATTAGTGCCACACAGCATCTTTTTGAGAGCTGTCTTTGATAGTCACTTGTGTGTGAAGCTAGTGGATACAGAATTTATATTCATTCATATTGACTGATAGCTTTATATAAAAATAAGCTTGAGGGCCGCGGGGATTTAGCTTAGTGGCACTGCAGGACACTGCCTTGAAAGACCAAGGTCCTGAATTTGATCCCTGGTAACAAACAAAAAAAAAAATTAAAATAAGCTTGCTAGGGCCCTGGGTATGTTCAAGACTGTACCTATCCCCTTTTCCTTTGAAGAAGTTTGTCTGAGATGTGCTCTTGGCGATATGTCTGAGGACTAGATTATTAAATCTTTCCTCGTGTGGCTCACTTGTCTTCTAACATTTTGGCTGGCTGGCTGTGGAAGTATGTTAGGGTTTTGTTGTTTCTGTTTTTTGTTTTGTTTTGTTTCTTATAGGTTCATTTTTAACTAAAGATTATTACACTGGTTTAAGGGATCTGTTTGCAAGGGTAGATGCGGTGGAATTAGGGATTTTTAAGAACTATAAGAAAAGGAAGTTTGACTTTTTTATTTGCATCTCAAGGTAAAAAATGGATCGTCTGGAGATAGATACTCAAAGGAAAAATGGAGACACTGCCTCTTTGACTGAAAAATCATTCTTGTTGTTAATCACGAGAATTGAAATGAACTTGTACTTTAAATTTTGCCCAGAGTGTGATGAACTTCCTATGGTGTTTGAGTAAGCCTTTGAAGACAGTGGTAGTCCTTGGGCAGGTATGAATTCAGTCATGTCCTTCTCAACCTGTGGTTCAAAACTAGTGTGCGTACTAAGGCCTAAGTTCCAACTTTCTGTATATGACTTCCAGAATTATTGAGGTAATTATGGTAATGTCAGATCCATGGGACCCTACTGAAGCTTAGTTTCTGCTCTGCATGAGAATTCTACTTCTTTTAAGTCAAAAGCGAAGGCTTCTGGTTTGGGATCCTTATGATAACACCCACAGCAGGTTTATTTCCCAGCATTCCAGGCAACTCACTTGCTTTTTTCTCTCCACACTTGGAATTGCCAAATCTCACTGAATTGTTTTTTTGATCTCAATCCTCCAACACCTTTTCTTCCAGAAGAGCTTAAAGCAGCGCCTGGGTAAGAGTAACATCCAGGCACGGTTAGGCCGACCCATAGGGGCCCTGGCCAGGGGAGCCATTGGAGGACGAGGTCTACCTATAGTCCAGAGAGGCTTGCCCAGAGGAGGACTGCGTGGGGGACGCGCTACCAGAACCCTGCTTAGGGGCGGGATGTCGCTCCGAGGTCAGTGCCGTGTGTCCCTGATCATTGTTGCACCCTATCCCCTTCCCTTTTCTCTTGGGCTGCTTATGGGCACATTCGTTTAACATCTTTAATTCTGAATTTGTATTACTGTTATTAATAACTTAGAATCACATATTTAGTAGTACTGCATGTCTTACCGATACCATTCTTTTTCTGATAATGTACAAGAGTTGAGAAGTTATCTGGTTATCAACCAGTGATTCATGTCATCTCCATTCCATTTTAAAACACCCTGCTGCTGCTTGTATCTAAGCACATTCCAGTTAGAAATAAGTGAGAAATGTGTGGTTAGTATGCATAAGGCCCTGAGTTTAATCCCCAGCACCAAAAATTTGTGAGTCATTTGGCCTATATTGTAACTGGTGCTAGTGAAACACTTTTAATACCTGGAAGAAAGGACAAGTTGATGTATAGCACCCACATGTATCTTATATTTTGGGCACTGTTAAACTGTTTCCTTTATAGCTCTTGTCCCCTACAAGAATGCATTGACAGCAGGAACTGTAGCATGCATTTTTAAATGTAACATAATACCAGGCATCTGGTTATTCAGTAGTTATTTGTTAAATGAGTGGACTTAACTCCCCGCTTGCTCTATAAATGGATTTGTGGTCTGAATTATTGAATTGATTTGAATAAAGAGCAGCTTAATCTGTTTACACTCAGTGTGCAGCCTGCCCTGTCCAACCTAAAAATTAATTGAATGACTCTCATTTAACCCTCACTGCCTTCCTTTGGTTAGAGTCTATTTTGTCTCTCTTGGATTTACCTGCATATACATTGTATGCCTCCTCTCCAAGGTCAAAACCTGCTTCGAGGTGGACGAGCCGTAGCTCCCCGAATGGGCTTAAGAAGAGGTGGTGTTCGAGGTCGTGGAGGTCCTGGGAGAGGGGGCCTAGGGCGTGGAGCTATGGGTCGTGGCGGAATCGGTGGTAGAGGTTAGTCAGCTACCAACTTCAGAGAGTAGCTCCCCTTATTTCCCTCCCTTAAAAACTCAGAGCCACCTTTCTGCACAACTTTAAGCCATAGGCAGGCTTGTTTGTTTGTCTTGTTTTGTTTTTTGAAACTGGCTTATTTTCTGACTTCACATGCTGGTTGTGGGAAAGAAATCATAATTTTCCTAAGAATCAGTTGGGTACATGTTACAGAGCCATATTTTTATCCAGTCTTCCAGGCTGTTACAAATTTAAATTGTTAAAATGACAAAATGGTGAGTTAGGGATTTTGCCTTTTTCTGTCTTTGCCCATCCCCACCACCACACACCCATTCTGGAGTAAAACCTTGTTTAAGTCATCGGAATAGTGAAGAGAGTCTAGGGTGCAGCGCGGGGTAGAGTGTTTGCCTAGTATGCTCAAGGCCCTTTAGGTTCCCAGCACTACAAAAAAAGAGTGATTAGAGAAGAGGGAAATGTAGGAAGATGAACCAGACTGAGGAGAGCACTGTGACACTGAGCAGGCATGCTCCACATGCAGACGGCCTTGGGTTCAGTCCCCAGCGCTAGGGTAGGTGCCGGGGGGTGAGACTTGGAATTGGGAATCAGCTTTGAAACCAAGAAAATTCACCATAAAATGTCTGCCTATGGGGAACCAGAGACAATTTTTCTGATCAAGGTAGAAAGTAAGGTGGTTAGTGACAGTTAAATAACTGGCTCTTGTTAATAATCTTAGCTTTGACGCCTCGATATTTATCTTTTGACCTTATGACCCAGATTAGAAAAAAGTTCAGTGCTGAATTATTAGTGCCAAATCATGGGAGCTTTGAGTTTAGTGGAAAACTCCCAACACCACCTGTCGAGGAGGAAATAAATCTATAGCCCCTGTATATACCTGCTTTAATACTTCAATAAAGTGTGTGGTGGGTCTTCATAACTTAAAACCCTGAAATTGCCAAGTAGTATTAGGAAACAACATTTGATAACCAAGAGGCATCTGGGCATGGTGGCACACACATGTCATCCCAGCACACACATGGGAGGCTGAGGCAGAAGGATCACTGAAAGTTCCAAGGCCAGGCTGGGCTACATAGTAAGTTTAAGGCCAGTCTGAACTGCATAGCAAGACCCTGTCTCTCCCATTAAATGCTACTTGACTTACTGAGTGGAATGGTAGCTAGTTAGGTTTCAGGATGAAATAGAATGTTTCCAAATTATCTTGACTCAGTTTCTGAGAGACATCACAAGGGTGGGAAAGACTAAAGGAGATTTTCAGAAAGCTGGATGTATTTTATTAAGTGAATTAAAACTTTAGCCTCTCAGATAACCACAATTGTCCTAAGGTGATTGGACTCAGAAGCGGCTGGGACTACACAGAATGCTTTCCCCGTCTTCCTACATTGTTCATGTATCAGAATAACTTCTCAGTCTTCTGACACATGAAGTCACCTTGCTAGACTTAAATTTAAGGAGAAATGAGATAACTTTGCAGAGTCTCCAGTAAAGCTTACTTCAAAAACTTTCTACCTTCACACCCCTGATTCTCTGTGCCCTTTTCATTGCCTTCCTATCTTACTAAATGGGTTAGGTATATTTTAATTAGAGTTCATAGGGGGTCTCAAACTCTAGGGAGAGATTAATTTTTTTAATTATGTCTGTCAGCTAATTTTCTCTGTTGATAGAATAAAAAAATTTAGATAGCATTTAGAGATGAGCATGTAATGAGGGATTCATTATGTGTGCTTTCCGTGTGTTGCTTTCTGCCCAGTGTGTTTCTCGTTTTCCAGATCTCCTTTGCCCTGCCCTTCAGCTTTTCTCAGCTAGGCCTCGCTACTCTAAGGGGCATTTCATGTAGCATCCCTTAAACCTACTTGTAACTCTTTCTTTTTTTCCCCCTTGGGCCAGGTCGGGGTATGATAGGTCGGGGAAGAGGGGGCTTTGGAGGCCGAGGCCGAGGCCGTGGACGGGGAAGAGGTGCCCTTACTCGCCCAGTCCTGACCAAGGAGCAGCTGGACAACCAATTGGATGCCTACATGTCAAAAACTAAAGGACACCTGGATGCTGAGTTGGATGCCTACATGGCACAGACAGACCCTGAAACCAATGATTGAAGCCTGCCTACCCTCCTGTGAGAGACTTGTTAAAGTTGCCACATCTGTAAATAACCTTGGATGACAGATGAGAAGAAACCTAATGGATGATAGAAGGACCTATTCATAACAGGCTGTGGACTTACGCCACCAGTTTGTGCATTTGGTGTGTTCCTTTTTCTTTTGATACACTGTGTTGTATGACAACCCCTTTTCCTTTGATTTGGGTGGGTGTGTTTTGTTGTTTTTCCCTTCAGCCAGACTTCTCTTTGAACATGAGTGTGTTGGCCTTGTGGGTAGAACACTTTTCCTACCTCTGCCTCCTCTTGCCTGTCATTCTCTCTGACATTCTAATGTTCCCTGTGTTTATCTCTACTCCTACCGAAAGATCTCAGAGCCAGTGTTCTTCCTTAATGCTTTGGTTTCTAAGTTGGAATTTCATTGTCGATCCTCTATACTTGGCTCTTAATGTTAAGAAAATCTGGAGCTCAAAAATGCATTCAGCTGTGTTGCTACTGTAGAAGCACTGACTTTGCTACAGGGCCACATTACAAGGAACACATGGTGACATCTGTAGTTACTCTGAAATGACTACCATGTTCATTGACATCACATAGATGATAACCAGTGTGCCGAACTGAATATGTGTACTTTCTACCCCAACTCAGATTTTGAAGCTTCTCCCTGGGCCTTGTTGCATTGGCTTCTGCCTAACCAGTTGGTTTGGTAGATGCAGCAGAAGGAAAAAGGAACAGGAGTGGTGGCAGGTGGACTAACTGCTTGTTGAAATGCTGTTACCGTCATATTTGTTTGAGCTTCTTTACTAAATGGCTTTATTTGACCCTCTTTCCCTTAAAGGTTTGAGTTCAACCATAACCTGTCAGTTGCAGTTTCAGTGGAATCTTGTATTTCTGGTTCATTACAACAAATTGTTCTCTCAGATCCATCCAGGACTTTCTCTTTATTTACTGGGTTCCTTGAAATGGCTGTAGCCACTTTAATGGTGTCCTCATATACCCTTGTATAGGTAAAAGAAGTCCTTCGAGGTTGTATTAAGATTCTAGGGGAGGGCCAGGGATTTAGCTCAGTGGTTCTGTGCCTGCCTCACAAGCACAAGGTCCCAAGTGTGATTCCCGGTACCAAAAAAAAAAAAAAAAACTAGGGAAATGTGGTTTGGGGATAGAAGATAACAACTTTATCCTCCTTTAAGTCCTACAGAAAGATTGTCACCTACACATTGTAATAAACCTTTTCCAGTCCTTGAAAAACTGAAGGTGGCCCTTGGACCCTGTCCCTGCTCTTCCTTGTACTATTTAAGGGAAAAGAACCTGATCGCCCCATCCTAGACAGTTTCATTGGCTTACTTTGGCACCCTAAACTTGAGGGATGATTGGCTCCTGTGGCATCAGGAGCCAGGAAGGAAATTTTGATTGTGACAGCCTGAACTTGAATCTTTACCTGTTTGTTTTTGAGGTGCTCAGGACCAAACTCTAGGCCTCCCTCACAAGCACTCTACCACTGAGCTGCATTCCCAGCCCTGAGTCCTTGTTCAAGGTGCGAAGTAGTGAAGGGTGGTCGAGGGTTAGGTATTGGACAGTGGCTCAGCAGAGCTAAATCCCCCAGCTCAGCTTCCTCCATCTTTTTTTTTTTTTTTTTTTTTTTTTTTTTTTTGGTGGTGGTACCAGGGATGGAACTTGGGTCCTTGTGCTTATGAGGCAGACCACAGCACCACTGAGCTAAATCCCTGGCCCTCCCATCTTTTTTTTGTAGCAGTAGTTGAACTCTGGACCTTGGGCTTGCAAGGCAGGTGTGCTGCTGAGCTAAATCCCTGGCCCTACTCCATCTTTGTCAGTGCTGAAATACAAGGGCTTGCCTCCCAGCTAGCTCCAGCAAGAGCAGACTGCTAGGATCCTCCACCAAGAGGAGGCTGTGCTCAAGGGAAAGTTTCAGCAAAGGAGGTAACCACACTCTCTTAGGCCCCCTTCTTTGCCAACCTCCTATGTATCCTACATCATGAAAGAATCCATCCTCAGTGGAAGCTTGGGATACAGCTTATTTGGTAGTGCACTTGCCTAGCACATGCAAGCCCCTGGGCTCCACCCCTCCGTAGCACCAAAAAAAAGAAATCCCAGTGGAAGGGCACAAGGAATTGAACTCTGCTAGCTATGGGCTCTCCAGCCCCGTGTGCTTCTTATCATGGGTTTTCAGCCTCTGTTCACACAAACTCTGCCATCAGTTAACAGTATGGGTTCCAGGTACAGCAGGACCAACTTGACTCCTGGGTTAGCCTTTCACCAGTTGAGCTGCCATCTCCCTCCCCATAAAGCACCACATTTTCATAGAAGGATACACAGCACAGAAGGGGTTGATGAGCTGGATCTTGGGGGCAGGGAATTGAAATACAAGAAAAATACTCCAAGCAGAGGGAACAGGTACACAGGTACCATGACTTAAAAGGCTATGTATGCCAGGAAAATGTGTAGTGGGTCCCCAGAGTGAGAGATGGCTCAGACTGTATAGGTGTCCTGGATCCCATTTGTCTTAAAAAGCATGGACTTCATGCTTTGGGCAGTGGGGAGACACATCGTAGCAGCCAAGCACATCTAATGGTTTACACACTCAGTTGGAGGTGTTGGCCTGCAGAGACAAGGCCCCAGCTCCCACTCCTGTGCTCATCGTGCTCCTGGGGCCTGGTTAGTCACCGCCAATTAGTGTTATCCATTTCCCAGAAGCTGAGCGTCTCAGTGGGGCAGATAAAGCAGGCACGGGGCCTGAGGAAAGGATCCTGGGGCTGCTGGCAGCCAGCTGCAGCTGTGGGCCTTGTGTTGGGCAAGTATGCCACCTGGCCTTGAACAGGCAACCCAGGAGACATTTGTAAGGAATTCACTTTGTTCTCCGTTTAAACTTGTTTTATTTATATACTACACATTTTAGTGTAAGGTGATTGTCAACCCAAGACGTACAGCCACAGGCAGGTGTTAGGGACAGAAAAAGCTGAGTCTTCTCCAAAATGATCTAAATCCATCCTCTTTGGATTATGACTAAAGCATGTCTTCCAACAGCTAGTTTCAGGGGTAAAGCAAGTCGTGGAACAAAAGGTAGATGAAACAGGTAGACAAAAAGCCCCCTAGGTCCCCTTGCAGCACTGCCAAGGCTCGGCCCCCACCATCCATCTGACCTATTTGCAATGAGTCCTGGTGTCTGCCTTAAAAGCTCCTCTTGGACCTGTGGGGTGGCTGCCCTCCAGGAGCAAGCACCACAGGTCCCTCACTGCCTCCATAGCCCTTCCCAGCACACCCCCACTGTGGAGTTCTTTCACTGAGTTTTGGAGGGGTCTCCAAATCCTCAAACGCCTTGAGTGGACCAGGGATGTCCCTCTCCCTGTCCTTCGGATGACAGAGGCCCAAAGACTGAGCATTGCTCCACCTAAGCTCCCTGGTGGTACAAGGTGCAGGTGGCCTCCAGGCAGAGGTCCCCATGTGACTGCTGCCTGAGCAGCCCAAGTGTTCCTACAACCTCGTGAACCTACCCCAGGACCCACCTTCACAGCGGTCATCCTAAGCCAAGTCCCGGAAATGGAAATGAAGTCGGGCAAAGCCAGTGCTTCCTGAAGATGGGAACAGACCCTAAAAGCTACACACTAGGAAGGTCTGTGCACTGAAATCCTGATAGCCCAAAAGAACTCTGCTTTTGGGGTGTGGTGTGCATGGGGAGGCATAGGTGGTGGTAGATGTCCCATGTAGCTCATCAGATAAGGATGTGAGTACTGGGAACATTTTCCTTGAGACGTGAGCAAGAGGTGGTCAGACCAGAGGGGCTTGAGTAGAGCATCTTAAACAAGGGAGTCTTGAAGTCAGGGAGAGGTTTTCAGAGAGCTGAGGTCCACCTGGAGTATAGTAAGTGAAAGTCACCTGAGTGCCCCTCCTCTGCCACCTAGGTCTGCAGAGGCTGCTGGCAAGTGATGCCCGAAGCAGTACCTCTCCTCTGCCTCAGCTTTGTCAAGGCAGCCAGATGAACCACACCAGATCCCCGACAGGCCAGCGGGTGGTGATGTCGCTACACCCACACCGCAGCCAAAGCTGGCCTCACACTCAGTTCTTGTCCTCAGCACCAGTTGTTGCACTGTGGGGAAAATTGGAACCTAAGACAGGCCACCTACAGAAAGTGGTTTGTGAAACATGGGAGGATCATGATTACTGAATTTTCCTGTACAACCTCCCACTGCTTCTGCCCCTACCTGTCTTCTTTCCTCATACCTCAGATGCCCTCTGCCATTTTTTACTCATACTACAACTCTCCCTAAGAAAACCAATGACTTAAAAGTAAAAATGAGAAATTTGAAAACACTTTTTGAGGATGAGGCCTGGGCGCTGAGAACGCCAGCATTTCCCTGTGGTATGTACCCATGTGAATAAAATTAATCTTTAGATCTAGTTTTCTGTCTGAGCAGACTAGTACATTTTACAGCTGCTGGAAACCCAGAAAAAACCACACAGGAAATGATTCTGGACCCTTTAAATATTTTCCCTTTGCTGGCTACTAGTAGAGGACACTGGAAAGGCATTTCAGGAGGAATCGTTGCTTCTGGTTCTGGTAGGGTCCCCACAACTTGGATTCCCCATGCCTTGGGCTAGCAGAGCAGCCAGCAATACCCAATGTCCAGCAGCTTCCTGTCGCAGCAGAATGCCTCAGCGGGCTGGCTCCCACAGACAACCTTCCCCAGAACTCGGAGAATTCCAGGAAGTTCTGGAAGGCAGATTTTCTGCACATTCCACCAGCATGGCATCACAGTGACTTCGCTGCCCTTGAGCAGGCCGCCACTACACCCTTTCCAGCAGTGTCTGCATCCCGGACCTGCTTTTCCCCTGCCCTCCTTATTCCAATCCTGTTAAATTTAATCATACTAAATTCTCCCCGTTAATATTACTGAGTCATCTCTTAGTCTCCTGCATGGATCCCAACTGATAGAAGCAGTTTGGCCCTGGTGTGGTTGGTATCTGGATGAGGGATTGTTCTTACAACCTATATCTCCTGCAATCTCTGCTGAAGCCAACTGTCTGAGGAAGACCAACGCTGTATGATACAAATGAAGTAGGAGGACGGGGCTTTGTGCCAAATTCCTTATGCCTGATGCCTGTACTTCAGTAAGTACTTAGAAAACAGTTGAATAATTGATAACAAGTCTTCAATCTGTTATCAAACCTCAGGGCTGGGTGTGGTGGCACACACCTGTAATCCCAGCACAGGGGAGGCAGAGGCAGGAGGACCACCACAAGTTCCAGGCCAGCCTGAACTACAATTTGAGCCCTGCCTGGTCAACTTAGTCCTGTCTCAAAACAAAACAAAAAATAACTCAGGATTTCTGCGGGACCTTACCCAGACTTTCACAAGTGTCCAAGGAGCTAACGAGGGGTTCTAAAATCCCTTTCAGCATTAATTTCCCCTGAGGTATGTGATCTAGAAATTTCCTCATTATTTCTGTTTTACTCTTTCAGTACTAGGGGCTGAACCCAGGGAGCACTGAGCTACATTCCCATCTCTTTCTATTTTCAAGAGAGGGTCGCGCTAAGTTGACCAGACCAGGCTCAAATGTGACATCTTCCCACCACAACTTCCTGGGTAGCTAGGATTATTTAGCTGACAGTTGGTAGAAGTGTCAGTTTACAATCGCTGGCTCCAAGGCAGGACGCCACATGGCAGATAGGCAACAGTTCCTGAAGGTGGAAGACAGCAAAATCAATAAGGGACCTTGACAGCATCTCTCTGCCCCTTTTATCTTATTCAGAGTACTTAGGGCAGGTAGAATTCACACCCTTCTTTAATCCTAGTGCCCTTGGGTCTAACCCCATCATGAATCAATCACACACACTAGATTCAGCCACCTCTGAGAAAATAAAAAGCCCCACCTCATCTGCATAAGACTTTGGAGGGACATCTAAACA